TAGATATGAATATTTTGTTACTGTAACATCAAAGAACTATCAGAAATAAACGTTTTTGGAACGTTTTAGATCTTTGGACAAAATAGGAAAAAAGTTATGGTGAAATGAAAATACAAAGAAATGTACATGTATTTTTCCACCAATGGCTGTCTGTCTATTTGTTTCTAAATATGAAATATGTGAAAACTTTGTCACTGTCATGTGAATGAACTACCAAAAATAAACATTTTTGGAAAGTTTTACAGCCCTGGATAAAATGCGAACAAAGTTATGGCCAAATGAAAATACAAGAAATGTATGTAATTTTCAGCAAAGGCCTTTATAGCCTCATTCTGGTGTTATGATATACTTTAAATCCTTATAACTTCACTCACCAGAATTTAATATTTTCATTTCAAACTTTTATATGTTGTCATTAGCACCAGGTTCCTATCAGCTGTTAGTTTACTTTGACTAAAATTCTAAATTTTAAAAATTTATGTTAATTAGATGGCGGCCATTATGGTTGGTAAAGGTGTATAGTAGCCAATTGGCGGATTAGTCTATTTGTTTACATGCATGAAACTTAATTTCTGATAAAATATTGGAAGACTTTGAACGACCACTCTCGCAAAGGACCATCTCACTTTTTCCTGATGCAGAGGTATTTGTTATTTAGAATTAATGCAAAGGTCTCAGGCTAAATACCTAATTATTTCAACTTTCACCAGTAAAACAGCAACCATCATCAGTACATTACTTCATGTGCATTCAATTTGGGATACCAAATGTGCTTTGTACAGTGATTTGTGCATAATGAGATTGTCCTAAACATATTTTTATGACCATTTCTCAAATCTTTTAAAAAGGCTTTTATTTAATTTTTTTTAACTATACACAATATGATACAGGCAACTATTTCAATAACAAGTTGGGTACTGGATTCTGTGAAACAGTATTGTGTTTACCAATACATCGAAATGCCTTGTTGGTTGTCTTAACCACATTAAAAGTTATGTATATTTTCAATTTCAGACTGAAAACTTTGAAGATCACCTCACAGAAGAACCTGAGTTTTGGTCTGAGAAATTTGATGATYTTTTTCAAGATTTTCCAACAACAGAGCAACCATTACCAGCTCCAAGTGCCAAATCATCTTTCACAAAAAAGCTTACAGCTCTTCTACAGTGGTTTGCTTTGTTTATTCTCCTCTGGCAAGCTAACTGCAAAATCAGCGATAACGGGCTTGAATGGCTTCTTCGATTTCACCTTCAGTTCATTCACTTGATTGGTACAACATGTAACTGTGAATATCTCATAGAACTCTGCAGTATTTTTCCAACATCAATATACATTTTAAGACAGCTGGTGAGATTTGATAGAGATGATTTTACTAAGTATGTGGTCTGTCCAAAATGCTCAACTTTGTATACTCAGGCAGAATGTACTCAAATCATTGGTGGGAAGACTGTGYTAAAATGSTYTACGCACAAAGCCTTTAAAAAAGGGAGATGTGCTAAAGAATGCGGTGCTAGTTTGGCCAAGAAAGTAGTGTTATCAGATGGAAAAGAATATTTCTACCCCCTCAAGACATACTGCTATAACAGTGTGATAAATCAATTGGAGACTCTGTTGAAAAGGGATGGCATTCCTGAAAAATGCGATGAATGGCGTAATCGTCAAGCTAAAGATGACACATACTGCGACATCTATGATGGGCAGGTCTGGAAAGATTTTATGAAATATAAA